CTGTTACAGAAACCTCAGCGTCTCTGTTTAAGTGGCATCCTTCAGCAGGCCTGGTTTCTTCCAGGGCAACACAGTGTCCTTCATAAACTGTATGTTCTGGGGGTGGGAGGTGGGGGTGGGGAATGACCATATTTTCCAGCTAAAACGAAGCCCATACCTCCTTAGGCCACATCAAATCAGCAGACAGGATCTATCCCATTCCATGGCCCCCAAGCCCCTGTGCTGTTGCCTCTTGGAACAGTTCATACGTTTTCATTGAAATTGACTCTTCATTTCTCCTTCAAGATCAGTAAGTGGTGTGGTTCTTCTTCCTCATTCTGCCTTTGATGTTCCTAATTCTCAAAACAGAGGCTGACGTTAGCCAATCTCTGGTCCCCTTCTGTGGAAGAGCCCTTCCCACCCCCATAATGAGTCAGTCCTCGGTGAATTGTTTTGTTCAGAATGAAAGCTTGTTATTTCAAGTTCTGTCTAATCACATTGCGGCTGTTTGGTCCCCACGGTGAGGGGCTTGCTTCCAAGATTGGGAGAAGCAACTGTGTGGGGGCATTACGTTCCTGATTTCAGTGGTGTCAGGGTCAAATAAAACCAGCGTGAAGAATTTTTGTTCCTTCTATGGTTTTAATAACAACACAATGTAGGATTTTCTCTTAAAAATGTTTAGAAACCCAAACAAAAGAGAAGCAAGAATGGGTTGTTACTGTTCTTAAATAGTCTTCACGTCCCACCAAGGGTCTCAAAGATAATGTTACTGAGAAACGAGCTTTGGCTGCCTAGCAGCTGTCTGAGAGAAGATGGAAGCTGATGTTAGCATTCCCATTTCACAGCTTCTGTCCATCGGTGGGTGACAGACAGACCTCACTCTCATGGACACACAGAGAAAAAGAGTATTGTGTTAGAAAGTTTGAGGACAAGTAGAATATCAGAAAGCGGGGAGGCAGACAGACAGAGAGGCTCTTAGTTCTGAAATTCATTTTCAAATAAAGAATATTAAACAGAACATGCGGATCTAGTTCTTCTAGTTTTTTATGACATTACTCATGTTGAGCTGCTCAAAGCTATCTTTGCATCTTAGTTTCATTCAGTGCCCTAGAAATTTGATATAATGGAATGGAAGAATCATTGACTTTGTTAATATGCCATATTCTCATCTCTCCCAAATATTACTTTGATATTATGGGAACATGCTTGTTATCTTCCTCTTCTTCATTTCCATATTTATTTGCCTGAGATAAAAGTTGGTTATGGGGCCTAACTCTGATTTCTCCTATGTACACAGATTATGTGGATTTTCGCCTATTCCCATCTTTTTGAATTTAATTATTTAAAAAATAATAATACCTCTTTATTGATTTCTGAGGGAAGGGAGAGGGAGAGATAGAAACATTAATGATGAGAAAGAATCATTGATTGGCTGCCTCCTGCACATTCTCCATTAAGGATGGATCCCGAAACCCAGGCATGTGTCCTGACTTGAACCTTCTGGTTCATAGGTCGACACTCAACCACTGATCCACACCAGCCAGGCTGAATTTAACTCTAGATTGATGTTTTGAACATCTCTTCCATGATTTGGGTGGTGACTAGGTCTTCATAAGACAAGTACGTGAATACTGTATCTTTCAATATGAATCCTTTGGGAAAGTGAAGAGAGCATCTGTGGAGTTCTGAGATGCTATTTCCCGCCATGTGTAAACCTGAATGCATTAACCAGTTAGTCAGTGGTTCATGTCAGGTGCCTGGCTCCTTTCTCCAAGTTCTTTTTACAAAAAAGTAATACTTCAGAATTAAGAAAGTTTGCTTAATGGGCTTTATGGATTAGGAACTATGGCAAGGACTTTCCAAAGATGAACTGATTTAATTCTCAGAGCAACTTCATGAGGCGGGTGGCCGATTTCTTTCTTTAAATTATTTTATTTTTCAATTACATTTAGCATTCGATATTATTTTATACTAGAGGCCTGATGCCCTCACAGCCTCAGCTTCGTCCGGAAGGTCGTCCAACTGTCCAGTCTAATAAGTTTCAGATATACAGGGTGGCAGTAGTATTTCATAGAATGAGAAGGGACATTGAGGCTCAGGAAAGTGTGTAATTTGCCCAAGTCAGTGGTGGAGTTAGGGTTGGAAGTGAGCTGTTTATTCTTGCTGGTAATTTGTGGCCTTCAGTTTGATTGCCTTTAGAGTTGGGAGGAAGCTACTGGCCCTCAGGTCTGTACAGAAACAACACAGACGCAGTGTGTCCTTGGATGCCCAGAGGCATGTTTCAGAGGCAACACCCTTAGCAGGCCCGCCCGGCCCCTTCACCCCACGGTGTGTGATGTATGTTTTCTTCTTCCAAAACTGGGATGGAGTTTGGAACAGCAAATATTTAATCAGAGCAAATTCTCCTTGCTAAATCCTGCCAGCTTGTTCAGCTCGAGGTTCTTTGCCTAAAAATTCTCACTACTTACTGAAAGCTAAACGACTGAGTCACCCGCAGAGCACAAAGCAGGCCTCAGTATCTGGAGCAGGGGTTGTTTACCTACTTTCCTTTTGGGTGAAATGTGCCATGCCACATACTCACCCTTTGATGAGCCTAAGGGCCTCTGGGAATCAACACGGGGGGCATTTGTGAGGGTTGATTGGATAGGAGCTCACGCCTCTTAATCAGCATGCTTCCTAAAATGGATTTTAAGAGGAGAGAAGTTGGTTTGAGGCAGGAGGTGGGGAAGAGCCGGAGGTGAAAGGTGAAAGGTGGAAGATGGAAGATGAAAGATGGGCTGGTGTAGATGAAAGGGTTGCCTGGTTGAGGTGTGTGTGAGAAATTAGCTTTGCTGAGAGAGTGGAAGAGAGAATGGAGGGAAGAAAAGATTTGAATATTGCACAGCAATAAAGCCTGTACAATTAAAACAATTGAAAAAACAAAAAAACAATTGGTCCTTGTTTATCTGAAATTTCAACTTAACTGGACATTTTGGCAACCCTACATGTGTGCTACTTTGTTTGATTCCTGGTCAAAAACACAGTAGTGTCTTTTTATGCATTGACATCTTGCCCAGATCTAAAAAAAAAAATTGCTGACTATAAAACATTTGATATTTCTTTATGAAATCTTTCATGCGTTTTTTGCCTGAGGCCGTAGTTTTGAAAATATGTTTTGTTTAGGAAAAACGTGTTTGAGATTTGGGTATAGTCATGGCTGCAGGCCTTTTCTGAGGTGAGGGTCAGGAAGATGAACTCCAATTAAATTTAATCTTCCTTTTGTTTATGGAAATCTTAATAGCCTCAGTTATGAGTGTTTCTTTAAGATGTTTTCTGGGGAAGAAACTAAATTTTAGTTTCAGTTTTATCTCCAGCTTGTGTCATTTCCCCCCCTCTGTGTTATCTTTTGTCTTGTGAATTATAGCTATACTGTGTTTTCAACTTTTTTTTTTCTGTTTTGAAGAGAGTTCAGCTTTGATGTTGATAAATAAGTTTTTAAATCACTGACTAAATCCTTAATGTTCTGTGTTCATAGAAATGTACTTCTTGTTCTCATTATATAAGATTTCAGTTCTGATAATATGACTAGGTCTTACTTTGAAACCTTCTAATGGGGCTAGTATAAACCATTGCCAACATTCATCAGATGAGTATGCATAAATAGTTCCAGTGGATCAAGGAAAAACGTAACAACCAATTCACAAAGAAAAATACAGACGGCCATACATTTATGAAAAGAAGTGAACCTTACTAGTAATGAGGAAAATGGACATTGAGACCTGATAGTGTTTTTTTCCTTTATGTTATTTAAAATATATATATATTTTTTTATTGATTTCAGAGAGCAAGGGAGAGGGACAGAGATACAGACGCTTCAACATTGAAAGAGAATCATTGAGCGGCTGCCCCCTGCATGCCATGCCCCCTACTGAGGACCGAACCCGCAACTCAAGCATGTGCCCCTGATCAGATTCGAACCCAGAACCCTTCAGTCTGTAGGCTGACACTCTATCCACTGAGCCAAACCAGCCAGGGCTGTTTTCTACCTTTAAATTGGGGGTTCAGGTTGGGAACCTGAGCAGGCTCAGGTAGTTCTGGTGGGATATAAACTGGTGCAGCCTTTGAAAGTGGGATTTGACTTTATCTCTTCAAATTTTAAAATGTACATGCTACTTGATTCACTGATTCCATTTGTGGATCTGGAGTCTATTCCACATCAATAATGGCACGTGTGCCATGAGGCATGCACAGCAATGTTACTGAATTAGTGTTTGTAATAGCAAAACAAGAGTAATCCCAGAATGATCAGTGTGGGAATGCCTATCAGATTTAACCTAGCCTTACTCTAAAAGATTATATGGTGGTTAAAAAGGTGTGCCTGTATGTATTAATAGGGAAAGACCTCCACAGCTTATTGTTAGTTATGAAAAAAATGTTACAGAATAATATATATATATATATATATATATATATATATACTCTTTTACTTAATAAAGCTGTTTGTGTGTATATGTTTATGCTTGTGTGTATGAGAGAGAGAGAGAGAGAGAGAGAGAGAGGGAGAGGGAAATGTATATGGCACACTATACAGTGTATGTATGTGTGTGCTGTGTATAAGTATGGGGTGTGTATACATACATGTGTACACACACATTTATGTATGTAAACTAATAAAAATATTCACCAAATTGTTAACTCTCCCGAGGAAAGGACATTTTGGGGTGGGAATGAAAGCAGTCTCTCACTTTTTATGCTCTATGTTTATGCACTTCAAGAAAAATATATGCATGTGTTACAAGTGTGATTTTTACAAGTTCTGATGCTGGGTTTCCACATTCCTTTGGGGTAAGCACAGGCTGAGAGGTACATCATGAGCATTGAATCTTTAAAAAAGACTCAGAGGAAACTAAGGAAAAGCCTTTGGGAGAGGGCCTTCTCCCCAGAGTTTGTGCCTTCCGCGTGGGATGCGGACGTGTAGCTGAAGCTCTTCACAGCAGCCCCTTTCCCCAGCTCTGACAGGACGCTTTTCTCTGTTTCCTCAGATTCCTTTTTACGAAGACATCTGCAAAGGCATTAAAGCCGGTGACACCTGTGAGAAGCTGGTGGGGTACTCTGCGGTGTACAGAGTCTGCTTTGGAATGGCCTGCTTCTTCTTTATCTTCTGCCTCCTGACCTTAAACATCAACAACAGCAAGAGCTGCAGAGCCTACATTCACAACGGGCAAGTCTCCCGCATTCGCTTCCCTGGCCTTCCGTTCGGAACGCAGGCTAGGACCCCCTGTACCCGTCTGCCTGCTCTCCCTCCTGCCTAACTCGCTGGCCCTGGTTTTAGGGAGGGAGGGACCCAATACATGTCCCTGCGCAGTGGCCCAAGAGCTAGAATCCTGTTTGTAACGCTGGTGCCATAATGAGAAAGGCAGTGGAGACAAGAGTTAATTTCTGGGACCAAGACCTTTCCCTGGGTCACTTCCACGCCGGCAACAAAACGGGGCTTCGCACAATCAGAGGCCCCGCGGAGCCGTCTAATGTTGGGAAAAGGCAGTCTCCCAGTCACTTAATTACTTCCCCTTGATTTGGAGAGAACAGTGCCCATGGCAGAACCACGGCGGGACATGCTTACCTTCTAAGAGGCCTTTTGTCCTTCATTGAATATCATTTAAATACATTTCCTCTTTTTTTTTTCTTTTTTTCTTTTTCTTTCCAGCTTTTGGTTCTTCAAGCTCCTGCTCCTGGGGGCCATGTGCTCCGGCGCCTTCTTCATTCCCGACCAGGAGACCTTCCTGAATGGTACAAATGCGTTTCTGTTCATTTGGTTCTTACCCCATTTTTGTAAAATCGTCAAAAGCACAGTCCAGGGTGCCTTTGATATTTTGAATTCCTGACTTTCTTTTGACTTAAAAAAAAAAAAAAAAAAATCCTGACCTGCCTGTACTTTATCCACTCTCCCTACTCCCTATCTCCCCGCCGGTCCCCTCCTCTGGTCCCTTCCCACTCCCTCCCTCCCTGGCAGGCTGTGGGAGGACCTTTACTTACTCTGCAGCCTGAAGCATTGAAGTGATAATTGTAAGGTTACTGGCATGAAGGGAGAATGAAGCGCTTAACATTTGTGTGAAGGTCAGTTAGTAAGTCAGCCTGACCCTACCAGCCGTGCTGGACCTGGCTCGCTCTGAGAGTGGCTCTGAAATGCCAGGGCTCGGAACACGCGCTTCTCAGCCTTTAAACCTGCCGCAGCCCCAAAGGGAGGAGAGAGGCCTCCTGCCCCTCTCTAAGCTTTCCCTCCGCGACGCTGCCGAACACTGGGCTGTGTGCCGCATCGATGGAACACGCCGAAAGCAATTTAATACGGAGCCTTTTGTCATAGCCCTTCTTCATATGCGTTAGGGAGGAAACAGGTCTGGATTTCAGTGGTTCGAGCACTGTTCAGCCCACATGAATTCACTTTCCTAGCTACGATGGTGGAAGTGTTCCCATTGTGTCAGGCCATGAGGAACAGCGACAGACCCTCAGAGGAAGAAGGTCCAGCTTTTTCAAGATCACACTAATTTTATGTTTTCCTTCAGGAAGTCTTGTCTCTTTACCTAAACTGCTCGTTAGCTGGTTTTCTCTTTCCGACAGACGTCCTTTTATGTGTTAGAGCGGTGGTCGGCAAACACTTGAGTCAGCAGAGCCAAATAGCAACAGTCCAACGATTGAAATTTCTTTGGAGAGCCAAATTTTTTAAACAACTTCTTCTAACGCCACTTCTTCAAAATGGACTCGCCCAGGCCGTGGTATTTTGTGGAAGAGCCACACTCAAGGGGCCAAAGAGTCGCAGGTGGCTCGTGAGCCGCAGTTTGCCGACCACGGGGTTAGAGTAATATCTTTGGAACGGGAAGGGCCCTAGCATCCGCTAGTCCAGCTCAGTCATCTGTATAGACAGGCTGGAGCCCAGGAATGTGACATGGCTTCTTTGTGACAGAGCCCAAAGTAGGATCTGCGTCCTTGGTCCCCAAGTCTGAGCCTCATTTCCTTACTAGACACCGGTGCCTCCTTATCCAATAAAATTAGAGCCCTTGGTTTTTCTGGCAATGTGTGTTTTTCCTTTTAAGTTGTGGGCCGTGTTGACTTTATGAATTGCTATGTCTGTTAGAGTACCTGGCAGTTGTAACGTGGAGGTTAGGCTTGGATGCACCAGAGCCAGGCTGTCTGGGTTCACCTCCGGTGACACCCATTACTGGCTAAGGGACCTTGTCAACTTAGGTAGACTCTCAGTTTTTCTCATCTATAAAGTGGTCTAATAATACTACCCGTGTGTGGGAATTAAATGTGTCGCAGGTCCAGTAAGCATATAGTAAAAGTGGGCTGTAGTCATTCATTACCCTCTTTCATTACTTGGAACAGTCGTGTCATCTCCTTTTGGGGGGCCTTCTTTTGCAGCCTGGCGCTACGTGGGAGCCATCGGGGCCTTCCTCTTTATCGGCATCCAGCTCATCCTGCTCGTCGAGTTCGCACACAAATGGAACAAGAACTGGTACGTGCCTCTATGGGAAGCTGCCAAGAAAACTCACTCATTGACTCAGAGTCTGCCCACAGCACATCGCCGACAAAAGCTCTCTCTGAGTGTCCTGGCGGGGAGAGCCTGCCTGCCACAGGGACAGTTTTTGCCGGCATTCTCCCTTCACTCTCGCTCTTTGGATTTGTTCATTTACTTCTCCCCCATTTGGCTTGTCGATTCTTTCTGCCTTTTTTCCTCCTACTTCATTTCTTCTCACCTTTTGGCTCTTTTTCCCTGCCCTCTCTCATTTGGGCTCTGAGTCAACCAGCAGTGTGACTTGGCCCCACTCAGCCCCACTGGCGGCACCTCCCCCCTACCCCCCACCACCCAGCTCTGTGGTTGTGTTGAAAACTTGGGCAGGCTTCCTCTTGGGCTTCCAACCTTAGGAGAGAGGAAAAATAATAATACTTTGAAGCTAAAGGTTCCCTTTCTGCAAAGATGCGATGGAATAATTCTCTCCTTTAAAAAAGTTTTTGTTTGTTCACCACCGCGTGGGCGTAGAAGGACGCCTTTGTTAGGAAGATGTGTTGCGCTACCTTAGAAAGCCATCCTGTGTTTGACGAACACAGACTCTATGTGCCTTGAAAGTGGAATTCATATCCCAGGATAAGTGGGAAATGACAGACTATTAATAGCTGGTTTTTATTCTTGCTGAGCTATGTTGAAGAAATGGCAGCCAGACAAGGGTCCAACCCCCTGAGTCCTAAGGGCAAGTTGACTCTATGTGGCTCTGGACAAAGCACTTAGACTCTCTGTCTTACTTTACTTACAAAATATGAATGATAATGACTGCTTTTGTTATTTTGTTGATTTTGTAGGCATCAGATTACTTTATATTTTTTGGGGGAGGGGATGGAGGAGAGGGAGGGTATTAGAAAGTTTTATATGAATGTGAATTTTATTTTGGACAAAACAAAATATACTATCTAAATTGTCTTAAAATACTTTCATTCTGATTATAGTTCTCAGGTTGGAGGTATTCATTGCCTGCCATTTTATTTTGCTATTTTTTAAAGATCAAATCATGAGATGCATTAATAATTTTATTATTATTATTATTATTATTATTTTTAACCATGGCTACTTTTTAAATTTTTTATTTACTGATTTTAGAGACAGAAAGAAAAAAAACATTAACTTGTTCTACTTATTTATGCATTCATTGGTTGATTCTTTTAAAAAATATATATTTTATTGATTTTTTTACAGAGAGAAAAGGAGAGGGATAGAGAGTTAGAAACACTGATGAGAGAGAAACATCGATCAGTTGCCTCTTGCATATCTCCTACTGGGGACGTGTCCATAACCAAGGTACAAGCTTTTTTTTTTTTTTTTTTTTTTAAATAAATCTTTATTGTTCAGATTATTACAGATGTGATCCTCTTCCCCCCCTCAATTGCTCCCCTCCACCAGGTTCCCACCCCACCCTCTGCCCTTTCCTCATCCCCCATTGTCCTCATCCATAGGTGCACAGTTTTTGTTCAGTCTCTTCCCGTACCCCCACTCCCCTTTTCCCCGAGAATCATCAGTCCACACCCCTTCCATACCTCTGATTCTATTATATTCAACAGTTAATATTGTTCATCAGATTTTTTAATTCCCTTGGTTTTTAGATTCACTTGTTGATAGTTACGTATTTGTTGATCATAATTTTTATCTTTATCTTCTTCCTCTTCCTAAATAACCCTCTTCAGCAATTCATATAATTCTGGTTTGGTGGTGATGAACTCTTTTAGCTTTTTTTTTATTTGTGAAGCTCTTTATCTGTCCTTGATTCTGAGTGATAGCTTTGCTGGGTAGATTATTTTTGGCTGTAGGTTCTTGCTATTCATCACCTTATTTCTTGCTGTTCTCGTCTGGCCTGCATGGTTTCTATTGAGAAATCAGCTGACAATCGTAGGGGTGCTCCTTTATAGGTAACTACCTGCTTTGCTCTTGCTGCTTTTAATATTCTCTCTTTATCTTTTGCTCTAGGAATTTTAATTATGATGTGTCTTGGTGTGGTCTTCTTTGGATTTCTTTTGTTTGTAGTTCTGCGCGCTTCCTGGACTTGTAAGTCTATTTCTTTCCCCAGGTGGGGGAAGTTTTCTGTCACTATTTCTTCCAGTATTCTTTCGGTATCTTGCTCTCCCTCTTCTTCTGGAATCCCCGTAATTCTGATGTTGGTTCACTTGAAATTGTCCCAGAGGTTTCTTACACTATCTTCAACTTTCTGGATTCTCTTATCTTCTCGCTTCTGCAGAGGAGTGTCCTCTGGCTCTTTGTGTTCTAAATCTTTGTCTTGATTCTTGCGATCTTCCAGTCTGTTTTTAGGACTTTGTATAACATTTTTTATTTCAGACAATGTTTTCTTCATTTCTAGTTGATCCCTTATTATTTCTAGTTGCTCCCTTTTCATATCCTCATAGGTCTCATTTATTTTATTGGCCTTTTTTAGGATATTATTGAATAACCTTATAACTGTAGTTTTGAACTCAATGCGGTCTTTTCTTTTCCTCTATCTCCTTCCTTTGTGTCCTTCCTCTTGTCTGCATTTTAGTTGTTTTTCCCTGATTTGATGGAATAGCTTTGTGTGCGAGGTGTTCTGGTAGAGCCCAGTAGCCCAGCCTTCCCAGTTACCTGCGGTGGACAGTCTTGGTGTAGCCCTTTGTGGGCTGTGTGAGCAGTCTTGTTGTTAAGCCTTGCTTATTGTTGGTATCACTGGGAAGCGTTGATCTCCAAGCCAATTGGCTGTGAGGATCAGCAGTGTCTCAGCTAGGAGGGCTTCTGTACTCTGCTTGGATAGGGTGGGGTCTCGGGGTGGCACAGACAATCTTTGGTTCCCTGTCAGTCTCACCTTAGAAAAGTCCTGTTCGCGGAGAGTTTCGGAAGATTGGTTGCAGGTGCGCGCACCTCTTTGGTAAAGGCGCAGACAAGTTTTGGATTCTGGCCAGTCCCTCCTTAGAGAAAGCCAGCCGCTAGGAGAGCTTCTGTGCTCAGCCACAGATGGGGTGGAGTCTCGGGTTGGTGCAGACAAACTTTGTTTTCCCTTTGGCTCCTCCCCAAGTCCCGCAGTAATGGCCTCTGGCTTCACACACCTCTGAGAGATCTCTGCCCACTGCCTGACAGTCTGGCCTCTCCCTGTCTGGGGCCGTCTATCAGAGCAATAGGCTGATTCTGTTTTCCTCAAGAACAAGAAAGCCAGCTGCGCATTAGCTGTCCGCCCTTTCCGTTCACCGGGAGTAAGCCAATAGCGAACTCAGCCCGGCCCGCCCTCTCTGGGCCTGGAGTAAGCCAGCGCCTTTTCGCGCACACAGTTCTCTGTACCTGAGGTTCACAGTTCACAGTTCCTGAGGTTCAGCGTGCCTTCTCTTTCCTTCCCAGATGGCAGAGCCTCCTCTCAGCTAGCCTTCCGGTGCTTCAGGGCAATGCCTCCCCTGTTTTCCAGTTCTAAATTCAAATTTGTGGTGGTAGGCTGCATTCGGGTGTCTACCCTATGCCGCCATCTTGGTTTCTCCCCGGTACAAACTTTTGACTGCAATCAACCCTGGGACCTTTCAGTCTGCAGGCTGACACTCTATCCACTGAGCCAAACTGGTTATGGCTCATTGGTTGATTCTTTTATGTTCCCTGATCGGGGATCAAACCCACAACCTTGGCATATCAGGATAACACTAACCAATTGAGCTGTCCAGCCAGGACAATCATGTTTTTATTATTTGGGAAATATTGGAGTATGTATCCAAATGCTTATGGCCAGTTTCTAAAATGTTGACAGCACATCGAATAGCCATACAAGTAGTAATACAGATATGTTTTGGTATTTTTCAAGTCTTAATCTCTAAGATAAGAAAAATTTCTAGTTCTGAGAAGTGCTCATATGTAAGTTTGTGCATGTTTTCCTGCTTTTTATAAAAAAAAGAAAATTTTTTCATTGATCTTAGAGAGGAAGGGAGAGGGAGAGAAACATCAAAGGTGAGAATCACTGATAGTCTGCCTCCTGCATGTCTCCCACTGGAGATTGAGCCCCAAACCCGGGCATGTGCCCTTCACTGGAATTGAACCCAGGACCCTTCAGACTATAGGCCGACACTATCCAATGAGCCAAACCAGATAGGGCATGCTGTCCTGTTTTTTGAGTCATCCCTGAAACCTAGTAGTTTATATTTGAGGTCTCTACTCCATCTTATTTTGAGGCAGCGAAGTTTTCCTAAAGATAAGTCAAATGGGTGACTATAGTTTTATGTGACCCTAATTTTCTCAACTGTGACAATAAATTGGAAATGCATTGTAATTGATTACATATCACTCTTTCCATGATAAGTCTTACTGTACTTTCACTCTGAATTTCTTATTAGAATGTGTCATTCAAAATTTCTCCTAAAATTTCCCCAAATATTCTTCAAATAAGGAACTTCCTGATAAAATATTAACATCTTCGATACTGAGTCCCTGATTTGCCCACTGAATTCCATCTTCTCTTGAGAATTCTTGGGCTTCTTCACTCTGATTTTAATGTTTTGATTGATGCTGAAGCCATTTTCTGGGACTGGTTATCGATGCCAACTTTTAACAGGCTTTTTGGAAGAGCTTTTTTTGCTTTTAAAAACTTTCCAGAAACCACTCAATCAGAATGGCTTAAAAGCTTTGCAACAATGATGTTGTTGTTGTCCCGGCTTTGAGGCCAATATCCCAACAAAACCCCTTTGTCAACATATTTATAGTCGGTTGGGTGGTTTGCCTAAAATTAGGGTTAAGCTAGGAAGCTCACTCATATTTTTATTTTTATGTAAATTCACTTACATAAAAATAGAGTTTTTCTAGAGTTTTTGCTGTGTTTTTTTAAACAGTCTCTTGCTTACAGGTTAGTCTAGAAAATAGACTACTCAGATCACTCTTCATGGAATAACGAAAGTACTTTTCCCTTCTTTTTCCTTTTGTGAAGATGTTGAGAAGGAGAGGCCGTGCAGGCAGTGGGGGAGGAAGGTGATGGCCTGAAAACCAGGAGCGTGCGGATGGTGCAGCCCCTCACTCTCCGGCTCGCTGTTTCCCTGTAGGCAGGTCTCTTGGCCTCCGTGACCTTCGTTTTCACACTGTGAAATGATGTGTTTGGACTAGATGGTTAGTGTGTTTTTGTGCTTTTGTTAAAAGACAAACTGAGGCATATTAAAGACGTGTTAGGGTTTATTTGAGTAGAAAATTGATTTGAATTGGCCAACATCCAAGCTAGCAGATAAAAGGGAGCTCCAAGGAGCCATACAGAATGAGACCATTATAGGCAGAAGGGAGCAGGAACCAGGAAGTTATACAGGGGGAAGTGGGCCGGTTACTGTAGGGCTCCTCTCCTCTGGGGGATGGCAGAGGTCTCTCAGGAAGATTCCCTAATGGTTCGAATCAGGTGCTTCCTGATTGACTGGTTTAGGATTCTTATTTCCGGGAAAGCCAAATTGCAATTAGGCTATTTTGGTTTGGTGCCTTAGCATAAAGCACTTCATTTGGGGCCTGTTGTCTTGTTTTTAATAATTCCTAGCTGTAATTTTGTGGGTAGGAGGGGTCAATTCCGTATCAAAACTGAAATAAAAAGTAGATGGTATATTCAGGTGTTTCTCACAAAGACCCATTTTCTATATTTTTAATTTATATTGTTTAGTTTACTGACCCAACCCTGACCCCAAGCCTGAGCCCAGTTCACTCTCCCACCTGGAAGCTGCTTGCAGCTGTGACCGTGCTCTCTGCTCTGCTGCCTGGTCCTGTTCTAATCTCCAGGGCTTCTCGCTGAGCGTTTATTCACAGTGGACTGTGACTGTGGCAGCATCCACACGGTAAAGATAAGTCTCTGCACTCGTTAGAGGGGTTTGTGAAAACAAGATGTCATCAGGGGGACCAGCTGAATATGGAGCTGCATTACCTGCTAACATGGCCGCAGAGTTCTTTGTAGCATCGACAGGCGTTGCACCAAGTCAAGTGCCTGCTGTTTGCCAGCCCCTCCACAGGGGAGCACATGAACAACAATGAGCGTCTATAAGCACTGCCTTTTCTTTGTTCTGAGCAATTTCTCTAGCTTGTTAAACCACCACTGATATCTCCCATCCTCTTATTAATAGTTGTAAACTAGAAAGCACATGTACATGTCCTGCTCTGTGGAGCATACGTTCCTCTGGGCAGGAGAGGGGGGAGAGATAATCATCTTGATTAATCAAGCAAATAAGTCATAGGTTCAATGGTGAAAAGTGCTCTGGAGAAAAAAAAAGCCGGGGTGGGAGCTGGGGAGAGCGGGCAGGGGAAGGCTTCCTGGTGAGGTGTGAGGGTGATGGAGGAAGCGGGGAGAGCCTGAGCAGGGCTGCTGGGCCCTTGCTGTGCGTGCTAAGGAGTGTCCACTGTGGCTGGACGCCAGCGATGAGGGAGGGGTGTAAGAGATGATGTCACAGTTGGCACTAGGCCAGATCATGTAGGGCTTCTGGGGCCACCCAATGAACTAGAAGGGGTCTGGCCCTGGCCGGGTGGCCCATTGGTTGTAGTGTTATCCTGTACACTGAAGGCGGTGGGTTCCATCCCCAGTCAGGGAGCGTACAGGAGGCAACTGATGGATGTGTCTCTCTCACGTCAATGTTTCTTTCTAAAAATCAATAAAAAAAAAACATATCCTCCAATGAGGATAAAAAATAAAATAGAAGGGCACCAGAGGGACATAATCTAATTTAATCTAAAGATTAGTGGGAGTTGTAGATGCAGGTCAGGAGGCCAGTGGGAGATAATCCAGGTGAGAGCTGAGGTAGCTTGGAGCTAGATGTTAGCAGCAGTCAGAGTCTGACACTCTGAAGTTGAAACCAGTAGAATTTGCTGCTGATGGTGGCATGGCGGAGGGGAGAGAGAGCAGCAGGGAAAGACAAGAGCCACTGCAGTTCTTTCCTTTAACGCATCCCAGCACCACCACCACCTCCTTGCCCCCGACCCCCATACACAAGGAGTAGAATGGAATTGCCATTTTCTGAGGTTGGCAAGACCAAATAAGATCTGACCATTGGGAAGTTACTCTGGACCTGCTAAGTTGGCCATACTGATCAGATTTCCAAGCGAGGATGCAAAACCGTTGGATATTATGAGACTGGAGTTGAGAGGAGAGGTTAGGGTTGAAGATTAAACTGGAAATATAAGCATAAATTAACTGTAAGGAAGTTCTCCATATGTTAATAATATCACCCAAAAGGCTAGTGGAGAAACACGTGGGCCCCACCCACACTCTGGTCAGCAGTGCTGACCTTTTTCTACATAATTCATTCTCTCCGTGTGTCATTCATTACTATTTGGCTCTTGGATTTTTCTTTCCCCCCATTCTCGAGTCTCGTTTTTCTCCTCCTTTCCTTTGCATGCCTTTTATGTTAGAACACTTTTGTGGTCATTGGAGTGCCTGGCTCCGTTTCAGGAATATAGTGGTCATTGTCTTTTTGGCCTTTCCCTCCCTTTTTCCTTTGTCTCTGGCTGCGGTAAGGTTTTTGTCGTTAGAATATTTTAGCTGGGTTGCTTGATCACTTTCCAGTTTTGCAAAATTAGTAAGCAAGTTGCTTTCTCTGAAGGTTTGTGAGAATGTGGATACAAAGGGCAGTGTGATCAGAAGGCAGCTGACGGTGATTCAAGGCATTCTTCCCGTTGCTCCGTCCTCTTCATTTAGCGTCTATAAGCCCTCCCTTTTCTTTGTTCTGAACAATCGCCCTCGCTTGTTAAACCACCACTAACGTCTCCCATCCCTTTAATAACAGTGGTAAAGTAGAAAGCATATTCATCTCCTCTTTTAGATTCTTCACTGTACATCCCCTTAAAATGCTTACTCTCCCCCTGGCTGACTTTATCTCCCCTTTGGTTTAGTGTCATATTTCCCCTTAATCACACTTGGCATTGCTTTGGAGAAGCAGAACCATTACAGAGCCTGCCTTTCAGAGTGCGATCACAGAGCTGAGGTCTTTCTCTGTTAGAAGTTAATTCGCTCCTCTCCCTGAGGACCAAAGGGGCTTCCGCAGGAGCTACTTACTGGCAGCGCGGGGGTGAGCACCATGGCACCTCCAGTCTCTGGGTTTATAGGGGCGACGGGAAGTGAGCTCCAGCAAAGAGCCACTTTGTCATAATACTGCCAAAACCCGTCCCAGGGTAATTCACGCTCAGAAAGCCCGTGGACAGTCATTATATAAGGATGAATACATTTGTGTCAAAAACAGAATCTTTTCAGTATTTAGAACACACTCTAAGCTTGGACCACGAAGTTTTTGCATATTTACCTGCACCTTCTCGCTTTGGCGTGGCATAATCATTGGCGGGTCTCCTGGAGAACTCAGTTCTGATGGGTTTGGGCTGGACAGCATCAGTTAATGGTACTGTAATAGTAAATGTCAGCGCAGCGGTGGCCTCGACTGACTTGTCTTCTCTCCTGTCCCGCTCACCTACGTACCGGACAAACAGGACTGCAGGCACAGTTCACAACAAGCTGTGGTACGCCTCCCTGTCCCTGGTGACCCTCATCATGTACTCCATCGCCGCCGGAGGCTTGATTCTGATGGCCGTGTTTTACACACAGAAAGATGGTTGCATGGAGAACAAAATCCTCCTGGGAGTGAACGGAGGCCTGTGTGTGCTGATTTCACTGGTCGCCATCTCGCCCTGCGTCCAAAATCGTAAGCACAATTTCCCCCCCCCATTCTTCCTTATTCATAGTGTAAGTGTCTTTTAGCAAACCCAGTGATAACAATAATTTAAAAAACATCATTCCTTAACTTTCCGAGCATGGATCAGCCATAGGAAAGATGGGACTCCCGTCTCCTCTTCATGCCCCCACTTGGGCTGAATGTGACCGTCAAGCATGGCTCATGTCAAGAAAGATCTAAACATAATGAATCCAATGAACTAGGAGAGGGATTTTACCATTGTTAAATAATGTACCACAAGGAGCCTTTACATGGAAAGGCCCTTATTGTACATCGAGCTGTTCGCTATGTTCTCTGTGCAAAACTTGAGTGAGAAGGCTCCGGAAGGAGCTGTTTTCTGGGATCATCTTTCTCTTGAGGCCAGGCACCAGGGACAGTGCGGTTAGGAAGCAGGAAATCCGATCTCCGCTTGGCCAGCTGCTGGCCTCCTGAGCTGTCTTCATCAGACTCAAGTCCTTCCTCAGCAAAGCCAACAGAAACCTGTGAGCCTGACCGTGCTCATCGTTGTTTCAAAGCCAAAAGGAAGAGACATGGAATTTGAAAGTACTTTAGAAAGTATAGGCATCAATTGTCCTTTATAAATGACTTCTGATATCTTTTTTTTTTTTTTTTTAATACATTTTTATTGATTTTCAGAGAGGAAGGGAGAGGAAGAGAGAGCTAGAAACATCAATGATAGACCCATGGATCAGCCGCCTCCTGCACACACCCCCACCAGCGATCGAGCCCGCAACCCAGGCATGTGCCCTTGACCGGAATCAATCCCAGGACCCTTCAGTCCGCAGGCAGATGCTCTATCCACTGAGCCAAACCAGTTAGGGCGACTTCTGGTATCTTAAGCCAGTGTGCTGTCTTTGGTTGTAGATAGACTTGTCCTTGGTTTTGAGTTTCCTGTAGGTGTCTTACTCTACAGATTATGGGGGGGATGGGGGGGGGAGAATTACATGGCATTTAGGTTTCTAGATAGGAAAAGGAAAAAATGGCCAATAAATTTATAGCACCTTGAAACCTTTCTAAAGTGGCGAGTTAAAGGAGCTGGTGTTGAATAATATAAAAGCTTTTCTGTACTAAAAATTTCAAGACCATTATTAAAATTGAGAGTATTATTCTTTCAAATCACTTTAATTAGTCAGATAAGAATTTCCTAAAACTTTACTAGTTTCAGATTAAAATATCCTTTGGGTAAAATCCCACCTTTTGAAATAGTTATAACATTTTTAATATTTAGTTTAATGCCATTAATTGTTAAGGTAAATCTTATTTCTATGCCAAAAGAGCAGCATCATTAAAGGGTCTGTTTCTATATTGGCCATTGTAATTTCATAAATATAATTCTGGAAACAAATTTAACCAGAGAGAAGAATGGGTAAAACCCAATGTTTTCATGCCAGTAGGGGTGAAAAATTTCACCAAAAAAATATAAATCAGTTTTATCACCTCCTGGTTACTATCAACGATATAAACACTTAAGTTTAATTTAAATGCTGTAACATAAAAGCCCTTCTCCCAGTGAATGCTGAGCCCCATAACCTTCCTCTTTAGCCTGGACTAGCTCTGGTATGCCAAAGGTTGTTTTTTTTTTAATCCATTGATGAATAGAGCTTTTTCCCACTGTCATGGACCATAAGTATCTGCTGTCCTTATAGAATCTGGAGTCCATGGAGCTCAGAAATAATGATGGTAAGTGTTCTTCTGAGATCTTGTGATATAAGAACTAATGTTGCCCTAGTTTGGTTGCTCAGTGGTTAGAGCATTAGCCTGTGGACTGAAGAGTTCCAGCCTCGATCCCCTGCCCCAGTCAGGGCACATGTGGGAGGCAACCAATCGATGTGTCTTACTCACATCAGTATTTCTCTCTCTGCATATCTTCCGCTCTCTTAAAAAAAAAAAAAAATGAAAAGAATATCATTGGGTGAGAATTAACAACAACAAAATTTTTTAAAAAAGGAACTTAATGTTATGAACTTTAGGGGTACCAGGCAGTATGTTTAAATACAGCTGTAGTTATAAAAATAAAGTGTTGGTAGAGAACTTGGCAGAGCTTGGCACCTCGAAAATAGCAGCTAGGCACAGTGTCTAACTCCCTCCCCCCCCAAATTTTTTTAGTGTTACCTAACAAACACATTGTGTACCTCTTCTTTCCTTTAAATGCAGAGCCCAAGTTTGAGGAATCATTTTCACTTGGAGGGTGGAGAGACCCTTTTATTTATTTTTTTAATTTTTTAAGCAGGTGCTCTATTATTGTTGAAATTTAAAACACTGTCTAAAAACCTGTCTCTTGTCATTTTCCAGGGCAGCCACACTCCGGGTTACTGCAGTCTGGTCTCATAAGCTGCTATGTCACATATCTCACTTTCTCAGCTCTGTCCAGCAAACCTGAAGAAGTGGGTAAGTTGGCCTTGTTAGGGAGCATGTGTTTGTGGTACAAAAATTTTCATTTGTGGAGGAAGCAGTGTGTCTCTGTGAGCTGTTGTGTAAATGTGAGGGATGCAGTAAATCGAGGAGCTGTGTTCCTCCAGGAGTGGTGTTGAAAGCTGAGTTGCAGATGCTGGGAGTTGAACCTGGGGTTTCATATATGCCAGGCACCAGCTCTTCCACTGAGCTACATCCCCTCACTCGAAATAAATCAAAATATAGAAATGATTAAGACTTTTTCAATAAACCAAGACCTGAAGGTGGGTTAGGAAGATGAAAATTTCTCTAGTCTTCCTGCTGTGTAGGAGAGACATGTACAAAGGTGGGCTGTTGAGTTTGCTTTTAGGCCTAATCTGCATTTCTCTGCTTTTTTTTTTTTTTCAAGGGATGTTTTTATTTTTCTTCGTTTATTTTGTTGTTGTTGTTTTTTTAGTTGGGTATTAATTTACTTTTCTTCAGGTAGTCATTTCTCTGAAACAAATAGTGGAAAAACATGGAAGTGGGAAGCAAGAAACAGGAAGAGATTTGAGCCCAGCTGCACCATGTGCTGGTTGTGTGACCTTGAATTGCTCATCTTAAATAACACTTATTTATAGAGACAAGAGGGCATGCATGAGCTGTAGAGTTGGACTGCCTGATAGCCTAGTGCTACTACTTAAATAACTTGTACAAAGTTACTTAACATTCTCCGCCTAGACATCTTGCCTTTAAAATAAGAATTTTAATTTAACAAGACACTTAAATAAGATTACTATTTTATAAGATGACTTTTAAGAATTCCGTTTTTCAAACATAGTAGGTACTATATAAGGATAAGCTATTATCATAGTTGCAATGATTATTTGAGAACTATAAAAGTATTATATTATATTATACTAGAGGCCCAGTACACGAAATTTATGCACTCAGCGGGGGAGGAGGGCGGCAGGGGGAGTTTCCTCAGCCCACATTGTAAGAGGGTACAGGACAGGCTGAGGGACTCCACTGGTGCATGATCAGGGCCAGGGAGGGACTTGAGAAGGTTGACCAGCCGGACCGCAGGAGGGCTCCAGGGCATATCTGGACCATCTTGCTCAGTCCCAATCGGCTGGACCCCAGCAGCAAACTCACCTACAAGTTGGAGCATCTGCCCCTGGTGGTCAGTGCACATCATAGCAAGTAGTTGAGTGGCCTTAGCATATCATTAGCATTTTATCCCTTGATTGGTTGAATGGCCAACTGGACAACTAGACACTTAGCATATTAGGCTTTTTTATTATATAGGATTAAGTTATACTACAGGCCTGGTGAATGAAAATTCATGCACTGGATGTGGGGGTCCCTCAACCTGGCCTGCCCCCTCTCACAATCCGGGAGCCCTCATGGTGGGAAGCAACCCAGCGATCAGGGGAAGTTTACGCCCCCATCACACCTCTGCTGCTGCCACTGCCAGCAGTGCAAGCCTCGGCCGGCCCTGGTTACCTGAGCCTCCATCAAAGGCTTGCCTGTGCCTTGTGCCCACTGGGCGGCTGAGAGGCTGAGAGGACTGGAGGACTCTGGAGGCAGGCACATGGAGTGGCCAGGCCTGGCCTTGCCGCACTCCTGCCGCCCCAGTGGGGCTGAGGGGACTGGGTGCCACCATCTTGTGGCTGTGGGTGCTGCATCTTTGAGGGCTTGGCAGTCATTCAGCATATTCTCTCCTTATTGGCTATAGGAGTGCTTTCTTTGAGGGCAGGGCAGTCAATTAGCATATTTTCTCCTTATTAGCTGTGGGTGATGGACGCCATCTTTTGCAACAGCATGAGAGTCAATTAGCATATTCCATCTTTATTAGATAGGATTATATTATATCATATCACATGATATTACATGTATCATGGTTGGCAGCAGCTGGCCAGGTACTCCCTCCCTTCCCCTGGCCACCTGCTGCCACCAGGGCCTCTCTCCCTTCCCCCAGCTGGCTCCACCCCCAGGTCGAACTCCCGGAGCAATTTGCATACTACACTTTTATTGTATAGGATTCTATTGTAAAGAGTTATTGTATAAGCCCCTGAGCCTTGCCAGTGAAAAAAAATTGAAGATCTTTTTAAAATTTTTATTTAGGAAACAAAGGCAAAGATAATTTGAGAGGTTTAGCATATGCACGTACTATGTATGTGTCTTGTTTTTATAGCTATTTATAGTGCAAAATGATATAATTGTAGGCCTCATATAAAGTATAGTCTACCCTGGATATAATCTTTTTTAACAAAGTTTTATTTTTACTAAGTTTATTTTAACCTAGTCTCTTCAGGACTTTATACCTATATATTAATCTCTGCTTTTAACTTATTGGGGTTTTAGTTAACATAGTTTTCTTTTTAATGGCAGGTATCACTTAAAAACAAACACAAAAAAAACCTTTTATTTTTAATTTCAGGTGGTACTACTTAAATAGCAAAGTTCATATTTGGTCAGTTTTTAAGAAAACATTTTTCATTGGCCTAAGAATAAAGATTCCTTTAACCACAGCATACACAGTTATGTTTACTATTTCAAGTGTGAATACTAGTAATAATTTCAGTCCAACTTCAAATACTTAGAATGTTTGTAAAATGGTTTCTGTCCCTTACTGGGACAGAGTTGGCAATCAGACCGATGGGGTGTTCAAAATTGAAGACTGTGTTAGACAAAAAATAAACTACCACTGATGGTAATACTACAGAAATCTTTGTTATGTAGCCTCTCAAAATATTTTAAAAATCCAGACAGCCTCAATAGGTTCCCAGGTTACAGCCTGAAAGGAGTCACGGCCATCCTGTGACTGGCAGTAAAATGACTTGTCTTCTGGGGGAGATTGTGGGCAGATAGCTGTTATCTGATACTCGGTTGGTAGTTGAGTGCCCTTATCACCCCTCCAGAGAGAGAGTGATCAACTATCTGTACATTATCTCTGTTCAGCAGCTGCCAAGTAAACTGAAAAATGAATCTAAGTTGCTCTGGTGGTTGTAGCTCAGTGGTTAGAACGTCAGCCCAAGCACCAAAGGGTTGGGGGTTCAATTCCAGTCAAGGACACATATCTGGGTTGCAGGTTTGACCTCCGGCCCGAACGGGAGACAACCAATCGATGTGTCTCTCTCACATTGATGTTTCTTTATTTCTCTCTCTTACCCACTTTCTCCATTCCACTCTCTCTGAAAATCAATGGAAAAAAAGATCTTTGAGTGAGGATTAACAGCAATAACAACAAGAGTCTAAGTGTGCTTTGTAATATTTGAATAGTGCTGGAATTGGCAGGTCCTACTTGCAGGGTGTGAAATAGCCACAGTCTTTGAAATAGCCACAGTCTAGTCTGAGTTGAGTTGTACTATAGAGTAGAAGTTCCCAGTGATGAGCCTTTACTCTTTAAGCTACCTGAATTTTCCCCAAGTGAGTGAGTCTGAGTTACAACAGGTTTTTCTGATTTAACTGTGGTTACTTTGTTTTTCCTTGCAAGTTTTGGACGCCCATGGGAAGAACATCACGATCTGTGCGCCTGCCTTTGGTCAGGACCTGTACAGGGACGAGAACTTGGTTACTGGACTGGGTACCACTCTCCTGTTTGCGTGCATCTTATATTCCTGGTAAGTTGTAGGATTACCTGAGCTCATCTTTTAATGTGCAGAGAAGAATTTAAATAAGTTTTAGCAGCTGCGAGGCAGCAAAACAAATACCTTCTGAGGAAGAAGGAGAATAGAAATAGTAGGTGTTTGGACTTCATTGGTCTTATGTTTATAGGAGATAAAATAAGTATGTGATACGTTGCCCCCCTTTAAAAGACCATTGACTGTTACTTGCTAAAGCATTATTGAACGGCAAGTGAACACAAAGTGAGCTATGTGCCAGGATGTTTGGAGAACTTGCTCATCCAAGGGAAATACCATTTGTTCGTCTGTTGATGCAAAATACAAAGCACTCCGTACACGGTCATTTTGTGTCTTATCGAGGAACGACAGGAAGTACCCCCCTTTTTCTTTTTATGCTGAAACCCACAATGCCGTTAAGGAGCCCGGAGCCCTCCAAAAGCAGGTGTGACACATAAGCAGGCTGCACTCCACATGCTTACGGTGGGGTTTCTTACACCTTTAAAATGTTTAAAAGATTGCTAGAGAGAGAGCAGTAAGGGATGGAAATGGGTAGATATTCTGGGTAGATATTTCATGGATAATTACGTTCCCCCGTGACGGTCACCTTTTCATGTTTAGGTTTTACTTCTGTGTTCTGTTGGATATGGTTCAGTATCTAAACATTTCCACTTGTCCTGGGCACATTATAGTCTTCCTTTGGCTGGAATGGAATGATGCTGGTGGTGAGACCTTGTATAAATAAAACATCTTTCCGGGCAAGTTGGCATTTTCTCTTATAGCTTCTAACAGCCCCTCATGGTAGAAAGGGACCAAGCACTTGCGTGTGTTGCAGGTGGTTGTGACGCTGATGCTCACGCTGCCTTTGACATGGTGACAGATTCTCCTCGGTGCACCAGGAGGGACCATGGTGTTAGTCCACACAAACCCAGGGAAAGGCCCCAAGACTGAAACTCAGCCTCTGTCAACAGAGGGCAGAGAAAGAAGCTAGCCCCTCCAGTCTGGTAATTAACAGATTTTTTTTGAGGAAAACTTATGTACGAGGCATGCCATGGGCGGTTGTAGGACCAAATAGATCCCTGTGCCTCCTGCAGGTGCCGAAGAATTATAAAGGGTAAAGGGGGATGGGGCTCCAACTCTGCCAGGCACGGAAATTACTGATAGAATCGCCACAAATGGTGTCACTTTGCAGCATGGAATCTTTACCCTCTCAGACTTTCACCACCACCCTTGAATGAGTGATGCTAAATAAAACATCACTTCTTCCAGACCTCAGAGGCACCACAGTGGAGGTTGGTGTGGCCTAGTCCCGTGGTCGGCAAACTGCAGCTCGCGAGCCACATGTGGCTCTTTGGCCCCTTGAGTGTGGCTCTTCCACAAAATACCACGGCCTGGGCGAGTCTATTTTGAAGAAGTGGCATTAGAAGAAGTTTAAGTTTAAAAAATTTGGCTCTCAAAAGACATTCCAATCGTTGTACTGTTGATATTTGGCTCTGTTGACTAAAGAGTTTGCCAACCACTGGTCTAGTCTGATTGTCCTCAAAAGATAACAATGTCCAAAGCTGACAGCTGCTACTTAAAGTCTGTCTAAATGCCAATAGCAAGTGTGAATAGAATGCTAGTAATTAAACTGCAAAACCATGGTGCCGATGGGAGAGGAGGTGGGAAGAAGCAGCCACACACCAAACGGAGAGCAGGGTAACCAGGTGGTGCCCGCCCGGCGTGTGTGTAACACACTGTGGGAAGCTCACAGCGGGGTTGGGAGTGTGGGGTGGGTGAAGGAGGTTTGCTCAGTGTCCACTGCAGCTCCGCCAGGGAAGTGAGCTCAGGCCTAGCAAGTCGGGCGGAGAATAAAGGGAATTCCTGCCGGGATGGGAGGCGGTCCATTCGGAGGTTTTAGAGTTTATGCTTTCCTCCCAGGCTCAGGAGGTGTTACAAAAAGAGGTTGGGAGGAAACTGTCATCTGAACATGATTGCAGGAATTTCTAGAATTTTTGATAGACTCTATAGGAAGCTGGAAGACTAGGTAGTGTGTGTGCACATTAAAGGGAGGCGAAGTCACCCGTTGACTTTCAATGGAAGTCCAGGATGGCTGGGGCTGACTTTTCCGTAGGTCATAGAAGGCTCACGGTGCTATCTTCTTCCCTATTCATGTACGGGAACCCCTCTACACACGCGTCCCTCTCCCCCCCCAAACACACACCCCACACACCCCACTTTAGGGGGCTCTCATGATGCCCTCCATCCTCAGTTCCTGGTTCTCTGCTCCAAGTCCTGCTGCTGACAAACTCGCTGTGTGTGTGTTTTGCTCTTTTGTGGTCTCAGCTTGGAGGAAGGGCTTGGCCCAAACTCACTCCCTGGCTTTCTGACTGAGGCCACCCTTTCTCCAGGCCCCTTCTGCTGCCTCCAGGCATCACTGTGATGAGGAAATGTCACAGCTTGGACCCCATGCAGGATGCCCCACTGGCTCATTCTACAGGCTGGTCCCCCCATGCCCGCCTCGGGCCTGGCTCCTTGTGACAGGCCCTGGCTTCCCCCAACCAACCCTTACTCCCCTCCTTGGCCTCTGGGCTTTGAGAGTATTCTTCTGTTGGTTTCACATTCAAGCTGTCAGACTGGATAGGGTTCAGGAGTCAATCAAATTCACTCCCCTCACTGTACCTAAAAGAAAATGGGTATGGAGCCTGTTCCTACAGCTCTGCACCCCCAATTTTAGGACACCTCTCCTCGGGGCTCTTTTGCTGGGCTATAGGAAAGACGGGTCAAAATTTCCCCTCCTTGTGTTGGCGTGGAGTAAGGTCCGTTCTTAACTCTGGCAGAAAGATAAGCTAGATGGCTCACATAATTATGTTATCAGGAGGCACTTGTGTTGTGAAACATTACCCAGCTACTTCAAATTCCTGGACAGCTTACACAAGAAAGAATTATATTTTCTCTTAAGCATAACAAAAACTGAAGATAAAACTATAAAAGCTAAGAAAGAATCTTTATTAAATTTCCACCTGGCTAGTTCAAAATGGGACATTCACAGCCATGTTGCATACAGTGGGGATACAGGTACAAGGTTGGTAAGTTGGCATTAGAAAGATTGGCTTAAAATTAGGAAAATTGGTAAATCAAGGAGGGCTATCTATTCTTGTGTGTTCTGGGCCTGATACTCTAATTTAAGAGGAAGGGAGGGGGAGTATCTTATTTTGGGAATCCTCCACTTTCCAGCCAGCCAGCCAGCTAGAAATTCCCACGTTCTGCACCGGGACCTGCTGAGGCCTGCCCCACACTCCCCTAGGACTCGGGTCTCCTTTGGGAGCCGTGCGTCACCATGTACACGGCAGCGGGAACGTAACTGAATTCCCCACCCAAAGCCTGGGAATGTCCGTGGGCCCTCTCAAAGGCCTGCCGCCACGTTTGTGAGGGAATCAGAATCTGTGGTCTCCCACAGGAAAGTCTGCGCGTGGTTTTGGAGGTTTTCTGTAATCCGGGGGCATTTGGCCAGTGCCAGGAGCACCTGTGTTTGAATCGCTCTGTCCCTGTGGGCAGGGCGGTGCTGCCTGGGCAGAGGTACAGAGAGGCATCTTATCGTTTTGGTTGTCGCGGTGACTGTACGCCACTGCTGGCTTTTTGTGACGGGGACCAGGCCCGGCGGCCATGCTGCCGTGCAGTGGACATTCTCTGCGTGGGATGGGAAAGCATTGTCCCAGCCGAATACTGTGAGTCTCCTGCGCCCCCCACAGGAAGGCCTGGTCAACACCACTCACATCTGAGGTCTAGGAGATGAGATTAGGGACAATCTGGGAATTATTTTACAACAGTTTGTCTCGCACTGACCAAATAGATGGGTCAATAGACAGGAAGAATTTTCTGTGTGTGTGTTTTTTTTTAAAGAGCTTGTAAAAAAAGTATTTTCTTAATAATCCTAAGAAAAGTGTTTTGTGGGGAAAGGCCATGACTGAATAAAGACCTTAGTTTACAGTAACATCTACTTGTAGAAGTCACACATGACAATGACTATAGGTCCTTCAAGGAGGATAAAAACTTCCCCTTTCAGTGCTGATGGTAGAAGTGAAGCCGCAAAAGTGCCAGAATCAAAGCTTTGTTTTTCTGAAACCATCTATTGCAAAGAATTTATAAAATGGATATATATTCTACTCTCTTTAAAGTATATCATCTTTTAGGTGAAAATTCCAGATACTGACTTCCTAAAATCGAAAGTTATATTTATCCCCATGGAAACTGTATACTATCTTAAATCAATTCATAGGCACAAGATATAGGACACTTAAATGCAGGAGCAAGGTGTCTATTTCTTGGGTGCTGCACAGCCAGAGTGCAGAGTCAGGACGTGGGAGTGGAGTGGGCCTCAATTAGCATCCATCTGCTCAAAGCAGAAATGAAAGTGATGCTGTTGGTCTTCAGGGGACCACAAAAGAAGCAATAGCTTAGATCCCAGAGGATCTCTTTATGACTAAGGCTTTTTATTGTTTACTAGAAGCCAGTTGCATGAATTCCTGCACATTGAAAGGAAATTAATTAGAAGAAATATTTTAGAGGCCAGGCAGGGACTGCAGGAGGTTGGCTCCAGGGCGTGTCTGGCCCATCTCGCCCAGTCCCCATTAGGGCTGATCAGAGCCGGCTGGCTAGGGAGGAACTGCGGGACGGCTCCAGGGAATGTCTGGCCTGTTTCCCCTTCCCAATCCACCAGACCCCAGCAGCAAGCTAACCCTGATGGTCGGTCAGTGCACATCATAGCGACTGGTCAAGTGGTTGACCAAATGATCGACAAAGTGGTCGACCAATTGGTTGGACACCTAACCAGTTAGGCATATATATATATATATATATATATATATATATATATATACACACACACACACACACACACACACACACACACACACACACACACTCTTAGGGTTCATATATATATATATATATATATATATATATATATATATATATTTGCATCTCATTGATCTCTTCTCTCCTTGGGAAAGAGGATGAGAATGAGCAGAGAAAGCAGTGTTTCCTCATGAGGTTTATTTGGTTGAAAAGAACCTGCTAATTTCTGCCTCTCTACTAGCCAACACTCCTCAATCTGTCACCCTCCCACACACATACCACTCCACCTGCCAACGCAACTGGCGCTGCGTTGCGGGCAGGGGTTGCACTGAGTCCCCAGTGCTTGGAATAGGGCCTGACACATGGCAGGCCTTCAGTAAATATGTGCTAAGCACAGTTATACAGTTAGATGGAACCCTAAGTATAATTTGCTTAAAATGTCCCCCCCCCCTTTTTTTTTCCATAGGGAAAATAAATACTCCTGTAAGTCAAAATTTACAACATTTTACCTCTCAAGGTATGGGGAAAATGGCAAGAAGATTTTTTTTTTTTTTTTAAATCACTCCCACAGCTAGTCTATATTGGATTTCTAAACAGAAAACCTTATTCTGCTGTAGGCTGATTGCCACCGAGAGTAACTGTGACCTTCGCTTTTCGTGCCTTGGATTATTATTGCCATCTCTGGGTTCCTCCGTTGCTTTTGATCCCTTCTAAGTGAGAATGGTCAAAGGGAGGGGAGCGATAAAAGTGAAATCAGAAAATCATTTTGGCAGTTAAGGGAAGAGAGGCAAAAACCAAGATAATGGGACCAAAAGACATCTTATTTCTTTACAGACTTCTCTTTGCACAAAACTTATCTAATGCGATTCATGTAAACAACATTAGCTGTAGACGCGGTCAGCCGGTTTTGGAATACAGTGGATATTTAAACAGACTGCATTTATCTAAGCAGGGAGAACTGTGGGTGCAGTGAGTCTCTCACTGGACACTGGCCAGGCAGCCCTGCCCTTCCTCTGATGGCACATAGCACGTCCGTGTGCTATGCTGACCTTTCTGTTTGTTTCCTAGTTTGACATCGACCACGAGATCGAGTTCTGATGCTCTGCAGGGGCGCTACGCAGCGCCCGAACTGGAAGTAAGTTCCTTTCCTTTTCCTGTCCTGCTTGTCTCCAAAGACCCACTTCCCAGGAAGGCTTTTTATGTTTGTCTCTTTATTGATCTGCAGCCCATGATCCCAAGAATACAATTTTTGTTCATAAAGAAATATCCTATATACACGGTGGGATTACAATCTTTGATTTTCCTCCAACAAGATTGGCCTCTCGTGTGGCATCCCACTGCCCACCTCCCACCAGGAGCCTGGGTGGCTCTGTCAAGCTGTTCTTTGTTCTCCTGTCACAATGGAATGTGTGTGGTTTTCCACAATTTTTAGTCTATTCCTCTGTTTTATACCTGCCTGTGCCCTCCACACATAGCACAACTGTGAGGCTATGTACTAGCTGTTCCAGAGGAGGAGAGAACGATGGAGAAGGGGAGGAACTGGCATCTGCTACATGCCACAGGGCTGAGCACTGTCTGTACGTTAGCTTACTTGAGGGTGTCAGTTCCATCAGGGGGGCATTTCACTGGGTAAAGAATTGTGAGCAATAGGTGTCCAGAGAATCATACTGCTTGGCAGATGCCAGTGGTCAGCAGAGTGTATTTTATTACAATGGAACATCCAGAGTTTAAAAAGGTCTAACCAGATGGAGGCAGCCAGGAAAAAACTTACCCCTGACCCCAAGAATAGAAAGAACGGGAAGTCCAGTGGTAGCTGAGACTTGTGGCACTTGCTATGTTCCAGGCACTGTTCTAGGCGCTACATACGTCATTTCATTTTATCCTCGTAAAAATCCAATGAGGGTTTTCTCTTCATTTTTTTCCCCCCTCTTCATTTTGCAAAGTCATTTAAACTTTTGATTTGCCAGCATACAGCCATGAGCCTGTGTTCCTAACCCCTGATACCCAAGAGCTCAGATGCTGCTCTTGGCCTGGCTGGGCCGGGAACCCTGCCTGGCATCCCGTCCTGGCTGCATCCTAATGGCTTTCCCTGGATTTAAGAGCCCTGGCTTATCTGATGGGCGCTTCCTCCTGCAGCTGCGTCTCTGGGGATGGTCCCTCCTGCACCCGAGCTGGAGAGAGGGAGCCATTGTGAAGGCTTGTCAGTCTGCCAGCATCGTTCCCCAGCTCTCTCAGTCACTGAAAAAGGAGACTGAATAAGAGAGTAAGTGAGGAGACTGAATAAGAGAATAAGTGAGAGAATGATCTCTGGAAGGCAGGCATTTGTTCTCACCACCCACCGGGTGACCACCTGCTGGGGTGGTACCTTACGGTTTCAATATCCCTATTGTGCACAGAGCTAATGTGCAAAGAACAGCGAGTCTCTAAGTACCATGTGAGAGAGGATGTTTTTCTTTCTCTGAGGAAAAAGCCCAGTGTTCCCTTTGGAAGTGGAGAGCATGCAGGACGGGAGTGGGTTTGCTCTCCTTGCATCACGTTTCACGGGAACTCCTTTGAAAGAGAGTTAGTTTCTTGTGGAAACTTAAGCTTCCGAAGAACTGGGATCCCAGCACACCGTGTCTTGGGCCCCCTGAATAAATTAGTGAGTCTTTGTGTCACTTGATGCCAGATTCTGTCAAGGCCAGTCCCTCTATTACAAGTGCCCTTGATGTGGGAGGGAAACAGGGACGTGGCCTTGAGGTGGATAAGGGGGGGTGAAGGCCTAGGCCCCCAAGTCCTTGTCCTTGGCTCTCTGTTCTTTGTAGTCAAAATATTATCAGCCAGAGTGTCCAGGACCCAGCGCTTCTCAGACCTCCTTGGGTACTTGTGTTTCTTATTTGTTTATTAGCATACTTCTGAAATCATGTAGTTATTTTTCATAACCTGATATTTTTAAAATTAAGCTTATTATGTTTAGTAAGTTAGAAACGTGGTATGAAATTTGAAAGGTCCCAAAGGCTCTTCAAAGGAAAGAGTCCCCCCCATCCCTGTCCCCGGCACCCCTGTGCCATCTGAGCAGCCCAGTTTTTACAGGAAGGGGAGGTAGGCCTCCTGCTTCCAGATCCCTTAGTGTTGCCATCGCTGATTCTCTTGGCTCCACCGCCTCTTGGATATCACACGCTTCTGATTGCCTCTTATGAGTCATGGGCCTTGGGGTCCCCATCCCGCACTCATTCTCAGTTCCTATCACTCGGCCAGTGTCCTGACCTCAGTTTCCTCAGCTGTAAGTGGGATAATAATCCCAGCCTCAAAGGCTGGAGAGAGTTTTTAAGGAAATAACGAGTAGAACAAAGCACCAGGAGTGAGCTCCAGGAGAGCGGGGACCTTGTCTCGTTCACTTTACGTCTCAGGTTGAGTTTTTCAGAAGCAGCTGCCCAGGCAGTGTGATGAGCAGGGTATTTATTAGTGAAAAGGAAGTGGGAAAAGAAAGGGAAGAGGCAGAGGGGACAGAGGTCGATGTTGAAGGGCGCTGCAGGCCGGACAAATCTTTTCTGACCCCCAACGCATGCTCCAGGGAAAATACGGCTCATCAGGCCCGTTCCTTTCACCCCTGTGTGAGCATTCATTCCTGTGGTTTGTCCGGGAAGGGCTTGCCCTCCGGCAGGGTGACTCTGCTGCTGGGCAGAGCCTGGGAGCTGCGGTCTAGAGACTGTCTGCTCACAGCAGGCGCAGTAACTGAGGGTGCTCCTTTGAGGGCAGCTCCCGCAGCCCACTGTATTTCCCACCACCAGCACCCTGACCATCGGGAGGAGCAGGTGCTCAGTTAAAACCTCCCGAAGGGTGAAGTGTGCAGTTCCGGGCGTGGGATGGAATTCAGACGGGGCCGGCTTGGCACGCAGCGGCCTTTGATGCCTGACTGATGTGGGGAGCAGGAGCACGTCACCTGACTGTTGGTTTTGCTTTCTCAGGTGGCTCGGTGTTGCTTTTGCTTCGGTCCCTACGGAGGTGAGTAGAGAACTTTGCCTCTATGCACCTGTGTGGCCCTGCAGACCTGTAGCTCTAGTCTGTAGGCGTTTGGGATTCACGTACAGATAACTGAATGGTGAGGGGACTTTTTTCCAAAGCCAGTTTACCGTGTGCGTACTTTTCATGTTCTCCCCAAAGGGTTGTGAGGTTTTCTTGGTTTGTTTCGCTATTCTGGCAGGCAAGAAATCAGTCTAACATTTTGGCTCACATTTAAGTTATACAGTGAGATTTAGAGAAGCAGAAAGTACATTTTTGAAAGGAATTAAAATTTGGGAAATACCAAGAGGTCCTGACACCATGATTTGGACCATTTCTTTTCCTCAACTTAACTTTTCTTCTTGAATTGGAGAGTCCCAGGGGCTTGAGAACTCCTGGTCTACTCTCTCTCCCTTTCTTCTGAGCTGATAATAAGTTTTGTGTTTTCAATGGCCTTTTTTTTTTGTTTTTTTTTCCTGCTCTATTGAATAGGGCAGCTCAGTTGGTTAGTGCGTGGTCCCCATAGTATATGCCAAGGTTGTGGGTTCAATCCCTGGTCAGGGCACATATAAGAATCAACCAGTGAGTGCATAAATAAGTAGAACAATGAACTGATGTCTCTCTCTCTCTCTCTCTCTCTCTCATCAATAAAAATAAATAAACTTGACTTGATATCCCAATAAGATTTAAAATAAGTAAAATGAGTGGGATGTTAGGTTAACTCATCCTGTTCAGGAAGGTTCTGGAGTAGGTGGGGTTTGTGCTTTTGGCATAGATGAAAATTGCCTTAAGGTACAAGTGGCTTTTGGCCTCTTTTCTACGAACAGCCCCTGGGTTGAAACGAGTGTGTCTCTGCTATAGCGGTCAGCGTGCGTGTGTTCACTCGCTGAGCTGGTGCTGGCTTTGTGGTTCACAGACGCTGAAGACCCGCAGAATATGAAAGAGGGGCCGGGCGTCATCTATGACGAGAAGAGAAGCACCGTCTACAGCTATTCCTATTTCCACGGAGTCTTCTTCTTGGCTTCCCTCTATGTGATGATGACCGTCACCAACTGGTTCAAGTGAGTGGCCACCTTGGTAGAGGTAGGGGTGTTAGAAGGGGCATCCTTACAAAAGCAGGTTAGTCTGTTCCTTAGGGCGCTGAGGCACAGAGCACATCTCCAGAGTCAGCTAGTGGTTTTCCAAGTCAATCAGTGCTCACCTTTACAGAAACAGGTCAAGGTTAGTCTAGCAGCATACTTTTAACCTTGGGACTTGCCAAGGCTTACTGTACTGCAACTTTAAAAAAAAAAAAAAAAAAAGAAAAGAAAGAAAAGGAAATTTAACTGCATATGGGTAGTCTTGAAAAACAGTAATGGTAATGGAGGAAGCACTTGGAATTCTTAAGTAATCATCTGCTTTTTAAAAATTGTATTAAATTCATTGGGATGACGACACTGGGTAATAAGATCATTGTTTTCAAGTGTATAGTTCCATAATACATCACCTGTATACATTATCTGCCTTGTGTACTCATCCCGTTTCTACTTTTGAAAAGGGATTTTGACCTTTTTTCCTTCACTCTTTCATTACAAAAGTTGAAAACAGCTTTTAAAAAAACTAATATGGAAATATAAAAAGTAACAGTAACTCCCTCCCCTAATCACTGCTAACAATATAGTATATATTTGTTTTCTATGCATTTACAATTTTTTTTAACATAAATATGATTATATATATTACCTCCCTTTTGAGGTTTTTTATTTTGTTTGTTTTTTTATTAACTTGGCAGTACATAATACACCTAACTTGTCCTGTCACAACATAGAGATGCTTTTGAATTGTATAGATTCTTTTTGCATTATTTTTTAATCCAAAGTTTATGTTGGATATGGATGTGATATAAATTAGGATACACATAGGCTAGACATTGAGGCTTAGTGTGCTTTTTTTTATTCAATCATTCCGCACACATTTGGGTGGCTCCTACGTGCCACACTGTTGTAGGTGGCAGGGCTTACATTCCAATGGGGGAGACTGTGAACCTAACCAGATACAGTGTGTCAGATTGTGGTGAGTTTTGGGGTGAAAAATGAGATGAGGAAGAGGAATAAAGAGTACCTTATGGGGTTGGGGGTGGCGGCTTCAAACAGAGTGACAGGGGATTCTTCCCAAACATCTTCCTGAGGGAGCTTCTGACGCTTCTCCGTGATCCTTTGAAAATTCCCGAGACTTTCTGGCTCAGGAAACTGAAGCAAAAAATGGATGAAGCTGTGATCAATTAGACAGATAGTAAGTGTTGAGGATGTGGGAGACTACACTCCTGGGAGGATTGTAAAAATGGCCCAGCTGCTTTGGAAAACAGTTTGGCAGTTCCTCAAAATGTTAAACATACAGTGACGACATGATTGGGCAATTCTACTCCCAAATATCATATCCACGTGAAGAAAAGGCATGTGTACGTTCACACAGAATCTCGTAAACGGTGTGCACAGAGGCAGCATTGCTAATCACCAACAAGGGGAAGCAACCCAAATGCCCATCAACTGGTGTCGGGTAAACAGAATGTGCCGGATGAGACAGTGGAGTACTACTCAGCCAGAACGAGGCGTAAAGTACCGACAGGTGCTGCAGCAGGGATAAACCTTGAAAACATTGAGCAGAGTGAAAAAAGCCAGTCCTAAGAGGCCACATGGTTCCTTCCATATGAAAATGAAAATGTCCCAAATAGGCAAATCCATAAAGACCGAAAGGAGATGGGAGAATGCTGGCGCAGGAGGAAGGGAGGAAATGGGAGGACAGCTGAAGGGTATCGGGCTGCTTTTTGGGGCCATGAGAAGGTGCTAACGTTGACTGTGCTGGTGGTCCCACAAGTCTGTGCACATGGAAGTCATTGAGCTTACGTGGGTGTGAATTACATAAGAATCCAGTTGTTAGGAAAACCGGAAAGGCCGGAGGGGGAAAGCAGGGGGACACTTGGTAAAAGAGAATGCCCCACAGTCCTCCTCCTACCATGACCACGATGGCTCTGTCGTCCCCACAGCTACGAGAGTGCCTACATCGAGACCTTCTTCAGCGGGAGCTGGTCCATCTTCTGGGTCAAGATGGCCTCCTGCTGGGTGTGCGTGCTGCTGTACCTGTGGACGCTGGTGGCGCCCCTCTGCTGTCCCACCCGGCAGTTCTATGTGTGAGGCCTGCCGTCTGAAGGGACGTCCTTTGAGCAAGTTTCCCAGGGGTCTGAGCGCGGACGGGCTTCCCCTGGCTTTCAGGGGGAGAAAAATCTCCTGATGAGCTTTTTTATCCTGAAATTCGAAAAGAAACTACCACGTTATCCTGAAAGAATTGAAAATTTCAACCACGCTGGTCCTGAGTGATGCTGATGTTTTGTATGTGTGTAACCCCTAGACACTGGGGTGGTAGTTAGGCGAGTAGTTTCCTTCTGCATGTGTTTACCAAAACCGTTTGGAGTATGACATCTCACAGGGGTGGAAAGTTTACCTTGTGTGGCCTCTCATTCTTCTCCTTGGAATAGAAAACATGCCAGCATCTTGAGCCTTCAGCCCCTACGGCATGCAGATCCCTGTGCACACCTGGGCCTGTGGGACCCCGCACACAGCCCCCTGGTGTTTATAGGGCACAAGAGGCAGCACCTGCTTTTCACCCCACTGGTGCTGCCTCCTCCGGGCCCGCAGATGTCTCCCGTGGAAGTTGTGATGCTGGGAGTCACATCTGTTGTGGTCCTTCTGTCACCCTTCCTCGGGGTCTCCTCAACCTTCCTGAGTTCAGTATCTTTGTTATGTGTCAAAGCACAGTTTGCTATCACTACCTGTGTGACCCCCCTCCCCCCAGTATTGTCACTACCTGATCAGAGTCACTGCAATAATTACGACTCTTATTTGTGAAATTATTCATCATGATAGAACAATATTCATGTTGTTTTCTTTGTCTGAACGATGGAAAGCTATGGTCTTACTTGTTTGTGCCGTTAACAGTCATCATACTTCAGAGCCTTCCCCGGAAGGTCGCTTCCCAGCTGAAACCTGCTGCACCCCTTTCGGTGGTAAGGTCAGCCCCCCAGTTTCTCCTTCCACCTTGCGGCCTTTGCCATGGTAAAGGCAGAGGGCTTTTGATTTCCAGGTGTGTAATGGGGCCACGCTGTCAATGTCCACTGTGGGGCTTTGGCGTAGATTTGCAGAGGTGGGGATCATGGGCAGCGCCTCCGACTGGGCTGACCGATCAGATACGCCGGTTAAACAAGTTGTAGACGTGACCAAGTATACTTCGAAGGAAAGGTGGGCCGATGGTGGGGCTTTTTAATGGAGCCATCACTAACTTCCACAGAAATTTCTAAAAGACATGCTTGTAAGCTAATATAAGCTAATGAGATACTGGACTTTGGGCAGCTGCCCAAGAAGATGTCCATTTTTGGTGCTGATGCTCTCAGGCAGGAAAAGAGTTTCCTTGGTGGAAAGTCTGTTAGAGACCCCTGTGGAGAGGCCTCAGGGTGCCCTGTTCGTGTCATGCAGGAGGGAAAGACTCCTCAAGCTCCCTGGCAGAGAAGGTCCGAGGTGGAAAAGATGGTCCTGTGCCCTACTGTATGAGTTGGTCAGAATTTGGTCCCACGTAAAGCTGGCTTCCAGTGTGCCAAAAAGCTGGTTTTGGAAATTAGCCAAATTCTTCATTCCTACCTTTTTGCGTCCTCTGAGGAAAACAAATACAATGGATTGATTCTTCTGGGAACTTGCCTTCCTGACAGTGTCTGAGATTCAGTGTTAAAAGGCACTTGTGTGTGAGAAAGAGCCTTTTGTCAGGCCAGGAGCTCTTTGCGCTCAGCAGTGGAAAGATGATCTGGAGCCACAAAGTGAAGAGCCGCCACGGGCAGCCCCTGGTCCACCCCGTGGGAGTGGAGTGTGGGTGTGGGCACAGGTGGAGGGAGTGGGGCTGGGTGTGCAGCAGCAGCAGCTTCCTGGTTGCTGCAGTGGCCAGCGCAGTGACCCAGGGCTCAGCTTCAGGAAAGACCACAAAAGGAGGCGGGTCAAGATCTGGGGTTGTATCAGTGAGTAGCTTTGTTGTGTTTTCTTCTTGCTAGTTGGGTCTGGAAGCCAGCGATGTGACTTTGGAACTAGTCTTACAGCATGTCAAGGTCAAGCAGACAAAGTCGAGTATTCCTTGGTCCCCTCCCCCTGCAGAAAGGTGCCCAGGGAAACACAAAAGAAAGCCCGTTGCCAACTGTCACTGAAGCTGACTCAGTAAAGTGCTTCCTTCCTTAGCTTGCCCAGCCAGGCTACAGTTTCCAGATGCTTAACACTTGGTGTGTGGCCTGTAGTTCCTTTCTGAAATTTGGTCTGACAAAAGAGGCACCATTACAGTCATTGTTTTTTTTTTAATTTTATTCTCAACGGAAAATGTAAGCAAGTGTATCTGAATGGTCAAGAGAGATGCGGATGTACTCTGAGGACTACAGGCATATACATTAAGTTGACGTACATGATTATTAACTGTAATAAACACTACTCAGGTGATGAGTCAACGTTCAAATAGAGGTTTAAAGAAGCCTACGCTTTTGTGCTGTCGCGATTTAAGAAACTGGAAAAACGGTGCCAATTGCTTTGAATTGCTATAAAGATGGTGTTCACTTGATAAGTTCTTTTTTTAAATAATCGACTTTTGCTTCTTAACTTTTTGTACATAATTTAAAAACTGCATCCCTAGAAGCTGCTGGTCAGATTCCTTCAGTAACGAAAGCCCAACAAGTTTGTAAAACTCTGTTTCCTCTGTGCTGTTCATCCCATGTGGGAGAATGTCCCCCTTTCATTCCCAAGAGTAAAACGACTGAGCGGGGGAAGGGGCTCTTCGGGAGTGTGGCCATATACCTAGCCATGACACCTGACCGGAGGCAGAGACTTTTCTATCAAAGCTTTCGGGCACCCTACACTATCCTTAATGGGTCTTGCTTTCGTTGGTTTTGTTCTCTCAGTTTCTTGGGACATGGCTTGAAGGAATTGGTTGCCAGAGATATTTGGAGTTCTTGGTAGTATAAGGAACTGTGTTCCTGGGGGCTGGGGAAGAGTGAGGTTACTGGGGACTTGGAGTTCGGTGCCCATCAGGAATGCCAGCAGGGGCTCCCACGCCAGGTTGTTTAGTTCCTGTTCCTCAGAAGTTCCTTCATTATGGGTGGTGACCTCTATCTAGTGCTAATTCCACCCACCCGAATAGTCACCCTCTGCCTTTTTAATACGGCCTTTAAAAATTATGTGCTTGGCCCAGCTAGTTTGGCTCAGTGGATAGAACATTAGCTCACAGACTGAAGAGTCCTGGGTTTGATTCTGGTCAAGGGCACGTACCTCAGTTGCAGGCTTGCTACCTGGCCCCAGTCAGGGCATGTATGAGAGGCAACTAGTTGATGTATCTCTCACATTGATGTGTCTCTGCCTCTGCCTCTCCTTCTCCCCTCCATTCCCTCTAAAAATCAATGGAAAAATATCCTCAGTGAGGATTAACAAAAAAATTAAAATTATGTGCTTAACTTTGGCCAGAAGTTTACTACCATTGGTGCTTCATGTTACCTACAAAAAGGGGGTTCAGAGCTTGCGTTTACGCTACCTGGGCCTTTTTCTCCCTTGACTGCCTTTCTAAATAGCCTCTCAATTTGCTGTGCGTTCACGTCCTGCCCCTCTTGGAAAGGAAAGAGGGTTTATCCTGTAATTGGAAGGCGTGTCCTTGGGCTAAGACCCTGTAAGAGAACATTGGGCCTTCTTTCTTCACCCAGGAAAAGTGCAGGAGCCACTTGGTCCCTGTAGGACATCCTTAATTTGCCAATAGCACTAACTCCCTATGGCTTTGTTCTTAAGGCCATTGTGTCTCCTGCCATCTTTAATAATGAAACTTGTAAAGACTCAGATGTTTCATTTTTTACTTTTTAAAAATATATTTTTATTAATTTCAGAGAGGAAGGGAGAGGGAGAGGAAGAAGGAAAGAGGGAGAGAGAGAGAAAAATATCAATTATGAGAATCATCTATCAGCTTCTTCCTGCATGTCCCCTACTGGGGATCAAGCCTGCAACCCGGGCATGTACCCTGACCAAACCATGACCTTCTGGTTCATAGGTCAGCGCTTAACCACTGAGTCATACCAGCTGGGCAAGACTCAGACATTTTAATACAGTGTTGCATTTCAGGCAAAGATGGGCTCTCTAACGTTAGATCTACCAATTTGTTCGGAGAGCTATTTATTGACACAGATCTTCTGAGCTGATGCTCCACATCCTCAAGATCTTTCTCTTTTTTCTTCCTCAGTAAATCATTTGCAGAGATGTTCATTTTACCAAAGAGGCATCTTCTGTTTTGTTTGTTTTGTTTTAAAGTAAACTTCTTTCAGCAAAATCTTAATTGGGGAAGGGTAGATTCAGAATACATATGTCCAAATTCACTTCTATAGGAGTTTAATGATATATATGTGAGTAAAATTATGGAAGAATTCTTGAAGGTAATCCTTTGGTGTGAAGGATCCTGGGAAATCCTCTCAGGTAAGGAAAGCTTGTAGTAGATGTATAATATATGTCTTGAGAGCTATTTATAAGAAATTTAAGAGGATTGTTTTCATTAAAGATTTAAAGTTTTTTTTTTTTTTTACTTTACAAAAAAAATACAAAAATTTTATAGTTATAACTTTGTTAATTTTTTAAACTTTTCTGAAACAATTAGCTGTAGCCAAATTATGTGGTTATGTTTTACACTATTAGAATTTTGGAAATGTAATATGTGTGGCAAATCTACTCTGAAATGTATATGGTCTCAGATATGATTAGAGTTTTGGTAACTTTTAAATATTTTCCCCCTTTTAGTCACAAAGACAACTATGAATTTATATTTGTTTTTTGAATGCTAATTTTTCTACGAAGCTGACCAGTCTGAAGTTGACCAGTCTTTTCCTATATAGAAAACTCAAAACTTGTTAACTCTGTACTTTAATAAAATTTAAAACTGAAAACCACGTTGTTGTTGTTTTCTCCCTTCTTTTGGACACACTTATAATTAAAGTCTTGCAAGCTGTGTTTTCCAAGATGTTGCCTTCAAATGTTAATCAACTCTCTCTTTTTTTAGAGAGAGTGGAAGGGAGGAGGAGAGGCACACGGAGAGAAACATTGATGTGAGAGAGACACATCAACTGGTTGCCTCTCACATGGCCTCC